ACACAAATTTTCTGACAAACTTATGCTACATATTATCCTAAGCTCAACACTTTATTTCTTGTCTATTGATATTCTTATTATTGCCTTCGGAAGCTCTGCTCCCGGAATCAAGTTATCCGATATCTTATTTCGGTTTCAATGCTAAGTTTTGTATTATTTATTATTTTGGGATCAAATCAATTCGTTTGTCTATAAATCACATACAAATTCAACTGTACCGTTTTACGGATAAACAAGATTAGAGTACGTCCATAATTGGAAAGGCCAGTATGTCTTGAATTGAAGTTGAGATTTAAATATAGTTAGACATGGAAGTAGTGTTTTCAGTGGTGGGACGAGTGAGTAATGCGCAAGAACTTATTTTTGAGAGGAGAATAAAGCTGAAAACGGCTACTAAGCGGAGGAGCAATTGAGGAATCCGTCTGAAGAAGGGCTTGCTTCTGATTAATTTGTTGCCGCACAACTTACTTAAATGCATATAATAAGCATTTGAATTATTAGATTACTAAGAAAAAGAAAAAGAAAAGTACACTTTAATTTTCTTGCATTAATCTTGCGTTAAAATAAAAATAAAAAGTAAATTTGTGCTCTCCGCTAAATATAGTAAAATAAATACTTTACAACGAGATGGTTCTTTTTTTGGTTTCCCACCCGATGTTCGGTATCCGTATTGGAGCCCGACTATATCTGGATTCGCGTTGCGTAGGGCTCCATTCGAGGGAAGCGCTCCCTACAAAGGATTTTTCCATACCCAAGACTCGAACTCAGATCTCTGATTAAAGAAAGAATGGTTAGATCCACTGAACCACATCCTTTGGTGGTTGATAGTTCATATTTTAAAGTATAAATTCCCACTAAGATATATACTGTGTTTGTCGGTTCGAAATTTAAAAATAATACTTTCCTTAATTAGTTGTTTTTTCTCTATGTCAACATCAACTTAATTAGTGTAAGAAGAAACAACATGTCAACAACACCTTTTCCCTCTTAAGAAATATTTTATATGAGGAGCTATTATTAATTTGTAAAAGCATTAGTTGAAAATTGAAATAAAGAAAAACACATGAAGTTTATGGAAATTTAACACCATAATTCCGGTCACAACTACAACTTAGCATTCTATAAAGAGCTTATTTAATTGCACGATGTAGAAATATAAATAATTTCAAGTAAATCCTTTGATAACCATTAATCATAATTTTTTTTTAAAATGATGACTAACATGTTACTATTTGTAAAAAATTCACTAATAATGTAAAAACGATCTTTATATTATCAATGCACATAACTCAAATCCTTTTACAAATACGTCACTTGCACTTAAATCCCTCTACAAATACGTCAATAGAGTACCTTAAAAATATAATCTAAAAATAAAAAATAGGGGTCTCAAGTGTTTCTCGGATTAAAAAACGTCAACGAAGGGAAGATTCAAATAGGCATTGATATTACTACATCAATTTCGGTAGAAGTATAGTTCTATTAATTCAAGCTGTTTAAATTTATATGCTCGGTTTAATTTGATTAGCAATCCATATTTATGGAAGACGCTTTCTTATAATTATCTTTTAATTAAGCTGATTGGGTAAATACTTTCTACATAATAAAACTTTAGTTTGACATGACTGAAATATTACATGTGACTTGCTAATAGTCTACACCGACCATATGAAAGCTAATTTGGCATTTTCAATTCCAGTCCAAACAGGCGTAAACATAAATAGTTCCTTTTTTAAATTAATGCATTTGCCATCTGAAACTCAATGATCCACGCCAGTAACAGAGCCAAAATTTTTGTTAAGAGGTGTCAAAATATATAAAAATAAATATACCAGAAAATTAAGGAGAGTCAATACATAGTATATATATATATATATATATATAATATCTTTTTTTTACCTATCTACACATTGTATTTTTTCCGTGAACGGATCTATAAGGTGGCTCCGCCACTGATCCACGCGATTAACTCAAATTCACGTAGCATAGAGCTTATTAAAGGAGTTTTTCCATTTCATATGTTCGAATATGAGACCATTGGTTAACGGTGGAGAGACTTTATTTAGGGGCAAGGCTACAATATTGGTATGGTTTTGGATGTATTTAGAAGTTTTGCTTAGATCGTATAAATATTAGGAAATCTACTAAATATATATAAATTTTTAATTGTAAACTCAATAACTAAAACAAGTTATAGGTTCGATAGCAAATTTAGAACCTATAAACTTCATATCCTAACTCTTTCATTTCATATGCTAACTAAAACAAGCTATATGTTTGATAGCAAATTTAGAACCCTAAATTTCATATTCTAACTCCTTCCACCCACCACCGTACTGCTTGATGGTCCATTTTGTAATATCTCAGTCTACTAGTGATATTATCTGCTTTGGGTGTAGGCCTGCACGAGTTTAAAATACGTTACTAAGGTCTAAAACATGCTTCCTTATATATTCAGTATCTCCCGTGTTTTGTAGATGTGGGATTCACTTGTGTATTATATATACCTCCGTAAGAACGCAACGTCCTCGCGGAGATTTGTCTCACCTTCATGGATTTGCCTAAACTTAGTTGAACGTCGAGGTTTGTCCCACCAACGTCCAAAGTTGTACGCGAAGTGGCGATGGTACCATTTATAACAACTCAACCCGGTAATGATATTGTTCGCTTTGGGTCTAAGTCTACACGTATTTAAAACGCATCACTAGAATTTATGGTATACTTCCCAGTGTATCCAACGTCTCTTTAGTATTTTTCGATGAAGAATTTGCCTGGAATATTACACATTTGCACTATAATTTAATGCAGAGAGAATTATGATAATATTCTTTTTTGGTTAACAGTTCCTTCTTGTAATTGACTAACAGGAATGTTATAAAGCCAAAAGAAAAGAAAGTGTAAGGTCAGCTAATTCAGCCACCATTCAATTTGCCAAAAAGAAAACAGCTGTAACGGTCCAATTTCCAGCCAATTTTGGTAAGTGGGAATGTAACAAATTGACCGATCGTTTTCCATGTGCTAAGCTGAATGATTTCCGCCAATTATTGCAAAGTACGTTACATTAGTCAATGATTTTTTAAAAGTCTTTTGCTTCTATTTGTCAAAGATTAAAAAAGACAAAAACAAACAGGAGAATGTTGTTGACAAAAGTCCCAAATTTAAGTCTTTCAGACCGTTAAGTAATATCTTAAACAATCCTAAGTTCCAAACCCCACCTGTTCGATTTAATAAGAGTATCTTTTAAAACTTATACGACGTTTGTAAGTGATATATATATATCACATTTATGTCACAAAGAAGTTGTCTTTTTCGGGATTTAGAATTTAATATTATAATCTTCTAAATTAATTATTTTGCCACTTCAATTTAGATGCTTTAAGATACATATTACTACATTAGACATTTGAAATTAGATATAGTGTTGATATTTGGTCACAAATACTTAAAATATAGATATTACTTAAAAAAATGTTGGTTACAATATATTTTAGGAGTTCTTTATATGATAAAATCCCTTTTACCTGGTGTGGCAGTAAACTTTCTCCTTTCTTGATTAGTTTTAAATACTTGCGTTCTTTGTGATTTTTCTCATAGAACAAAACAAGGGAAAGGAGCTGTATTTTATTTCGCTATCTTTCTTCATCTTTCTAACTTTTTCTATTTCCATTCCCTTATATAGTTTTCATAGAAGCAAAAATCTGAGACTTTGATGCCATAGACTTGGAGAAGTCACTAGGCAACTAGACTAACTTGACCAAATTCTGAGTGTGAGATTTCCCTTGGAGTCGAACTCAAAATAGACCATTTTTAGGAGTATTTAAATTGGCACACAATATTAATATGGGTTCTACAAAAGTACCTGACTTATATGTGTCAGGCAGAAAGAGCAAAAATATCATCAATACTGAATTAGCCGAGTACTTAGTTTGTCTGAAATTTAAACTAAAAATCTTAACTTCAGGACAATTCATGATATTTTTGCCCTAAAAGATTAAACTGAAAAACTGAAATTTAAGACACTGGCTAAGTCCTAAATAGCGGCCCTTCAAAGTGGCTACCTGATGTCATTTCTACAAAGTAATAAGTCGGAGTAGGAGGTTTAAAAATTATACTTAGAAAAAACAAAGAGTGAGGTAAATCACTTTAGTATCCCAAAAACGAGACAAGATACTTGAGAAAATTCTTTATATGTTCTTTACACCTAGGGGTGTGACCTAATATCAATAAAGTATGTAGAGAATTATAAAAACTCATGTTCAAATCCCAACCAAGAATAAACACACTAGGTGATTCACTCTATCTGTCCATATCTCATGGACAAAGTTACCATTTTACTAAGTACCTACTCCCGGAGGCGGATGTAGTGTAATATCCGGCGGATGTAGTGTAATATTTACGAGTTCAATTGAACCCATAACTTTTGACGCGGAGTAAAAATTTATATGTAAAATTTTATTAAAATTGCAAAAATAATAAATGTGAACCCATAACTTTAAAAATATAATGGGTTTAATGTTAAAAACATTAAAATTGAACCCATAAGATTTAAATCCTGGATCCGCCTCTGCCTACGCTGGTGAGATTTCATAGGTAGTCAGGAACCCTGTGAAATAGTCTAGAGCACGTGAGAAAATTCTGGAACAAACAAGAAACTGGTACCTCAATAATTTATTAGCTAATAAGACTCAGTTTAAAAGGTTAAAACGAATGTTACTAGAACTTTCTTTTCTTTATTCATTTCATTTTTAATTTACCTTTGTTCAACAAAAAGGCCCAGAAAAGGAACCCGAAGGCCCAAAAGGATGATATGGATGAAGCAATAGTTTTCCAGCTTATTACGGTATTACCATCACTATAAGACCACAATTTCTTGGACAATTCAACAGCTATGCTTTCTAATAGGGTCATAACTTGTTAATCCTGGAGGCATAATCGAAAATGAGGTAATGAATAGACCCAAAAATAGCAGAACTAATAGGCAATAGCATGAAATATTTAGGTAGTCTAATAAATCTTTGTTTTCCTTTATATTTGTCATTGGTCAGAGAGCCACTTTCTATGTTTAACAATCATAGAAAAGCTACATCATCCTACCCAAACCACCACCCTCCCCGGTCACATGTCGGAGAAGAGAAGGGGTGAAATGAGAGGTTCAAAAAACATTCTGCAGTAAGTTCTATATCACAAACAACAAACTATATCATGAAGGATCACATTACAACCACATAAATAGTAATTACAGACTTGAACTGGAAAGAATCAAGCTCACCAACTTGTAAGTTCAAAGTCCAGATTGGCACCTTTGAGATTGCATTGAGGTGTTAGCTTTGCCACGCTTCTCATGTCCGACTATGTGAGTCGTATTCTTTCATAGACTGTTGGTTTGATTCGAGTACACAACTTTCTTCATGTACGGTTATCGGGAAAAGATCTGGTTCCATATCTCATGCTTTCCAAACTCGGACTGTGCTATCTACAGAAGAAGTTATCATGCAGCTTTCTTTTGGGTGATAACTTACGCTAGTTACCTGCAAGGGAGAAGCAACTATTTGATCTCTTCATGCATTAGAATTACTCCAAATTATTTAAGCTTTTCTATCATTCCTATAGCACGTTGGATCACTTGAGATGAGTGTGAACATGTAACACCTGAAAATCTTATGCATAATGTAACCATTTAATCAAGTTTCTTCAGGTCAGAAAGCTACCATGGGATCGAGAAATCATCAGACTGAGCTTTGAATATACTGATCAGGAAGAAGGTTAAGAAAGCAGTAATGCATGATTATATTTCAAATATTAGCCAGAAGGGACTTTTTTTTCTACTCAGTATGTGGGCTTGTCCCATATAAAAACTTATTTACTTGTCGACCAGAAAACAACTTCAACGAAAAGTAAGAAGGTGACCAAGAATTTATGAAGATCGAAGGATAACCAAGTATATAGTATTTTATGCCAAATACAGTACATAATACACAGCATGCTGCCATTGAAATGGATGGAGCTAACTGAGGGCCACATGTAGGAGCAAACAGATTTAGGTGCCTATCTGCAAGTATATATTGGATAAAGAACATCAGAAGCACTCAAAACTTCTATCTCTAAAGCCTATATCTTTTTTTAATTTTTACCCCTCTCTATTCTTTTGTAGTGGGTGGTCTACCTTACGATGCTGGACCAACTCTTTCACCTCTTTTGGTAAGAATAGCTTGAGTAAGAATATCTAAAACGTCTACATATCCTTAATGAAGTAGACCAAATAGGCTCTTTTCAAAAAATTTAACAATTGCCTACTCAATTAATGTTTTAAGCTTTTGAATTCCTAAATCCATTAACAAAAGAGAAAGAAACAAAAGCTACAAATGACTTCCTTTTCTCCTTTGCTATAAACAAAGTATATATTTTTGGAATAGCTGGGATGTTGTTGGAAGGTGCTTTTGTGATTTAAACAATTACAGCAACAACAACCAAGCCTCAACCCCAAACTCAAGTTTGGGTCGGCTATATGAATCCTTACTTATCATGTCTTTCCATTTAAGCACATATCAGGCCAATTTTATACTGTGATATGAATTATCAAAAGAAAAATTATTCTTCTAAAGGGCTTTAACAAATTTTACTAGAAGTGAATGATTAAGATGAAGGCATACAAGGCTATCTGGTGTACAACAACAACAACAACCAAAAAAAACTCAATGTAATCCCACAGGTGGGGTCTGGTGAGGATAGTGTGTACGCAGACGTTCCCCCTACCTTGAGAAAGTAGAAAGGCTGTTTCCGGTAGACCCTCTATCTGGTGTAACAGAAGTAAATAGCGCAAAGAATAGAATAAGGCCCAATGAGGAGATTAAATTGATTTTTCCTAACTAGTGACGTTTAGGATTAAATTGCTATTTCCTAATTAATCAGGTGCGGGATCCTACAGGAAATAGAATATGTTGCGTAGCTAGATGCATCTACAATAATACTTTACCACTAAATCATGAGCTCGGAAGCTGGACACAACTGACGCGTCGACCAGATCCCAGAAGTAAATATAGCCATCTTCCGAGCCGCCAGCCACATTTGCATCACTGTTTGTGAGGCAGCAATCTGTTTTAAAAGACTGCAAGGAGAAAACAGTACAACAGAATAAGCTAGGGGCTATTACACCACTCTACCTGGAAAGTAGACAAAATCAAGAAAAGCAAAAGGAGAACCACCAAAGTGCCAAAGTCGGGAATGGATCTTTAAGAAAACAGTTCCTATTTATTTATTTATTTATTTATTTATTTTACTTTTTGTAACAGATAGAAGAAATGATTGCTATAAGAACAATAGACCACCACTCAGAACCAGGTTTCCGTCCTAACCTTGCAAATATGACCCTTATATTCTTGCAATAGTTCGCCACTAGACCTGTTGAAAGCAATTAAAAACAAGATGGTATGAATAACAAGGGTTACCAAAAGGCAAAGGAACAAGATGCCAGACTTGCAAAAGAAATTACCTATCCAGAAGTCGAAGGGTTGAATCTAAGCAACTTGCTAATATACAGTTGCCATCATTTGAAAGAGAGATACAGTTGACAGGTTGCCCAAAATTATCAGATATCTCTCTACAGTAAAAATATACATTACATTAACTAACAATCCTTTTCGAATATAACATCCCGGAGCAGAAATGTGAAAGGAAATTTGCGATTTTAACATACAGGCAGTACATACCTACCAACTCTGATGTCAAATGTTCGAACAGTTCCGTCAACACTTCCAGCAATTATCTCAGTTTTTGTGAGACAAATAGACATGACACTATCTAGAAAGGTATCAATGATCTGCGAATTTAACAAAACAGAAGCTCAAATATGTGTTTCGTTAAAAGACCAAAGAAAAAAAGCTCAAATCTTATCCAGCAAATAGAAGATGGCCACCAAGAGCCTTGTAATAAAGGAGGAATATTTGTTCGACACCCAAAAAGTAGGCTAATTCAACGGTCCTTTGTTCAACTTCTCATGGCGACAAATTTTCGTCACTATGTTCCTTTTGTACATTTCGTGGAATCTGACATATCTTGGCCAAATCCATCCATCCAGAGGCGGATCCAAGATTTCAAGAGGATGAGTGCACTATTGTAAAGAGGTGGATATAGAATTTATATTTGACCGGTTTAACTTTAGGTTCTTAGCATGAACCCATTACACTTTTGAAAATATAGTATCAAAATTATATTCTTTTTAAATTGATAAGGATTTTCACATATATATCTATAATCCGAGTTGAAAACAAGACCGTCTGGAGCGAGATTTGAACCGCCAATTTCACATGTAGATGTTCACCCAATAATTATTGTACCATAGGAGTCTTTGAGCTTGGGTGCACACACATATATCTAAGTAAGTTTAAATAGATATAACATTGTTATACATAGTTTAGAAGAGGAGAATGAGTTCACGTGAACCCACATCTCTTAAGCTAGATACGCCCCTGTCTCCATTCCTCCCTCACTCACTCAGTTTTCCTTGTTCCCGTTTGATTACCTGTGGAGTATTGAAACTGAAAATAGTCCATGGACTGGATCCTATACTACATTCTGCATTGAGTGTGGAGTGTTGAAACTGAAAATAGTCCATGGACTGTATCTTATAGTACCTAAGTTGCTCGGACACGGGTGCGGGTGTCCGACACGGGTGCGGATCTAGAGGTCGGATCCTTCGAGATGTAAATTTTAAAATTCGAGGATACGGATACGGGTGCAGGGATCCGACTAAAAATAATTCAAAAGAAAATATAAAAATATCTTTAAATTATGATAAATTTTGTGGAATATTTAAGTATAGCTTGTAAAATGTCGATTTCTTTTTATTCTCAAATTATAGATAAGTAAAGGATTGATTTCTTAGATAAGGTATGCTATTTTCTTCAAATTTATCCTAGTTCTGGTTCTGATTTTGGGAATCAAATTGTATCTCGTGTCGAATATTTCCGTCCGTTGTGATCAAAGTACCCAAAATTTCGTGTCGAATATTTCCGTCCGTTGTGATCAAAGTACCCAAAATTATTTGACCAGATCCGGTACGGATCCCATACCCACACCCATACTAGTGTCGTGTCGACACGGGTGCAGCACCTAAATTGCCATGTCGGAGCAACTTAGTCTTATACTACATTCTGCATTGAGTTTTTTTCCGTGTACCGTCCTACCAGTTAAAGATCAAGTAGTTTTTGTTTCTTCCTGTATGTTTTACTTCTAAATCAAGTTAAAAAGTAGATTAGATGAGGAACAGAGTATTAACATAATCCAATTTGAAGATGTGTTCTTTTTTTTCCGACTTCCTGTGCTGGTCCCTGCAGTGTTACAGGGAACTGAAGTAGAAGAGACAATAATCTTCCAAGGGCAGCAATGGATGGATGTTTTTGAGGTTCAATTGTGGAACAAGTCCTTCCTTCCATCTGAAACACTGTAAGAGATCAAAGCACCGTTTACAACTCAACAACCATCCTCAAATCACATCGGCCTAGACATGGTATTTAACAAGAAAAGATTTTACACTTCATTGTCCACTCAATTTATTTCCTCAGATCTAATCTTATTTGGTTTAGCTGAAGTTTAATCCTAACTTTCTAGTTCTACTGAGAATGTTTACCTAGATAGATCTTGCAAATCAAAGAGGAATTTATTCACCTGGATTGGTTCAGTGCTATGAGATCTGCAATCCCAAACACGCAATGATTTATCATATCCTGCTGATACTACAACAGAAGCATACTCATTAAACTTCACAGCATTCACCTGGCAGAGATGGAAGAAGACAAAACTGTTACCCAACCAGTGGATGCACTGCTGAATCATTTAGATGCAAGGTAGAACAATTAGGGATTATGCTTGAAAATCAAGATACTGGCTTCTAGCAAAACCTACCAAAAATAGGCTCTCTTTAAAAACCTGAACGGCTCTTTTTCTTACAAGTACTCTGAGCTAAATTAAGGTGCTGATACACAATCACATTAGTTTGATTTAGAATTGTGCATTATAAGATCATACATTAAGATAGTGAAACAAACACTTATCAGAACTGCCGCTGAAAGTTTCAGAAAAGGTAACAGAAAAATGACCTCCAAGGCCCCAATCACGAAGGAAATGCCAATAGGAAAAGGTATGAGTATAATTGAAACAAATACGGGCCAGATTTGCTGTTGTTGCTAAAACTTGAAAAGCACAAAAGAACCCATTCACCGGGATTAACCCTAGAACTTGAAAAGCACAAAGAACCCATTCACCAGGATTAACCCAAAGTTGAGGCTTTGAAGCATCCATAAAAGTAAAATAGAGCTTTACAAAAACATAAATATGAACTACAAACTCTCGAAAAAGTAATAGTTATAAAGTAAAAGAATTCCAAATAGAGGATACTAGTAACAACTTGACACTTCAAGGCAAACAAGATATACAATTTCTTTTTTTTTAATAAAGTTAGCAAACACGAATCAAACAAAAGAGGTAATCATCAAATTCTTTTATTGGTGAGATACATGATGATAGAACAGCTATAGCTTCAACACCTTCAAATTAATAGCCAAATATATACCTGAACACCTAAAAGAATTTCTAGTCAGCCATTTTAACAAAATGCTGGGTTTCTTTCTATTCATGTACATATTCTACATTGATATGTAGGAAGCTTAAGACTGTCAAAAAGCGCAGCATAAATTTGTAGATGCATTGTCTTCTTGACTATTTTTTGTTGTCTATGTACTAGGCCAGATTCGGATTTCAGATTCTTATTTAAAGTTCATGCTAAGCAAAGCAAGAAGCAGTTCTGAATAAGACCAAGCATGATTAAGACTTCAATACTAAAAGTAATCAAGAAAGGACCACATTAAATGTGATCCAGTTGCGGAAGTCTCCACAGTGAAATGAAATTGAAATTTGATCACAAACATAATAACAAACATATCAAAGCACACACAAAAGAGTGGAATCTTAAAACGGCAAGATAAATATACTCCTGGGCCATGAACCTTTGACATTTTACCACCTGTTTACATTGAATAACTTAGAATACACAGATTATCAAGAACTTTGACCCTATATTTGACATCGGCTTCATTTATGATGGCGTAAATGTTTTCAGATGTGTTTTACCCCTTCCAAGTACTTTCTACAACTTAGTTGCCTTATTTGGACAATCTCTTTGAATGAAGAAACTTTTTTTTATGAAGTAATGAAGACACTATTATTATTATAATTATCATTTCGATAAGTTGAGTGAAGAAGCTATTACACCACGACAAGGATAGTGATTCACATTTCCAGTGGTAGTCATTGCGTGCTTGCTCTTAATAGAATTCATACTAAGACTAGTCTTCACTACACACCACTACCACCACTAAGCATTGCCATGGACCATCAGAATTATCAGCTACAAATTAACACAATCTTCGACAGCTAATCCTATCATCATCAATTCACCGTCACCACTCCATCACCGCCTAGTATAGCTTAATGCCAACCTATATTTCCTGAAACCGCTGCAATACAATCCCACCCTGCACCCCCTTCTTTTTTAACAGATTCCTTCTTAAGGGAGTTTCCTATAAATTGTTTCAATGGTTATACCTGATACTTTCTCAGAAAATGTTTGTGAAAAAGATCGGCCTCCATATAGTATACTGATTTGAACAGACCTTCGAGTATTATACTCATTAAAATTTCCAACAAACCTTTCTTTGCATTCTAAATTAGGAATAAGAATCAACCTCACTGTCATGGCCACGAAATTTGCGAATTACACGACCTGTTGATACATCCCAATAAAATACTTGTCGATCGCCACCACATGAACAAAGTTTTGAATTATCCCTACAATATTAAAACAGTAGAAGCATGCGAGCCATCAAAAATTTGCATCACCAAAACATCTTTGGAATCAGGCCAAACGAATGATAAAAATAAACCATAAAAGCTAAAATCTAGGGACTTGAATACTTGATTATACAAAAGGAGATAATATCCAACATAAACATATACATGCATGCATGATCTGTTGTTATTTCTCTACAAGTGTGCATGATATATTACTATTTACTACTCTTAACTCAAAATTTTGTTCTTTGCCTTGACTTCTCCCTTTTTTATCAGTAGATTGTCTTTTCTCTTTTATTCATTATCAGATCACCAGATGACAAAGACAGAAACGTATAGCACTTAGAAATTTAAGCTTTATACCAGGTTCTAGTTGAAAAGTTGAAAGTCCTGGGTAACAAAAGGTTCAAGTGCTTCTTTTGGAGTAGGAATCTGGAAGCACATGCACTCATTCGGAGCAACTTTAATGAAGTTCTGGTTTCTCACCTGGAAATGTTAGGAAAATTAGATTTTGGGAGGATGCTTGGTTGGGGCACTCCCCTTTAAAAGACTTGTTTCATGAGACTTACAGCATATCCTCTCTACATAGTGCTGTGATAGCTGAGTTATCTACTGCTCAAGGGCGGGATCTCTTCTCAGAAGAAACTTGAATGATTGGGAAGTACAAAGTACATGTCAACTTCTACATTTGCTTGGTAACACCAACACCTCTCTGAACCAATCAAAGATTGATTCCATTACCTGGAGGGTTAAAAAAAGGTATTTATTCGATTAAATCATGCTACAAGTGGCTACCCTCTTTTGACAATAGAGATTTTGGCCATGGAAGAAGATTTGGCACAACACAGTGCCCCTGAAGGTATCTTGTTTCACTTGGTTAGTGGTTAGAGAAGCCTGTCTCACTCAAATAAACCTTATGTGGTCTCCAACTTTGAAGCAGATGGCCCCCTTTGCAAAGAACATCCTGAAGATGTCGGTAATTTGTTCTTGCATTGTAAGGTCACTCAGATGCTGTGGATCATGTTCTTTGGTATTTTGGGAGTAGCTTGGCCTATGCAAAACTCTACTGTGGAGTTTTTGAAGAGTTAGAACAGATAGAGGCTAAGCATTCAATAAAAAAAAAACTTAGAACACGATTCCCATTGCTATTTAGTGGACGATTTGGACGGCAAAACTACAGAACTTTTTTTTTTTTGTGAAAGAAGAAACTACAGAATTTTTGAAGGCAGATCAACAAATACACTTAGCCTTAAGTTGAGAAATCTTTCTTTGCTTTTTTTTTGGTGCTATCTGATCTTTATAAAAGATAAAGATGGGGATTTTAACAATTTGTAACTATGTTTCGACACACTAGCTTAGTGCTGTGCTTCGCTTTTGTTACTGATACAAAAAAGTTTATCTTTTCACCAAGTTTGGAAGCAAGATGAAACAGCAACTCATATTCTATCTTCAGGTGCTGAACCTGCCACACTCCGTCTAAGATATTTACTCACAGGTTTCACCTAAATATTAATCTAAACAGGAATAAACTAAGTCTCAGGTTTTCCTCACCAGCTCTTGTAAAACATCCATGGATCTTCTTATGCATTAACACTGAGCTTGATTGGAGTAAATGAGGAAGGGTGGAAGGAGAGCTATTTCTTTTTGGTGCGCCGACTACTTGTATAGATTATTGGGTGGCTTTTGTAAGAACCATATATTGGTGTAGGCAGTGGCGGAGCTAGAATTTTCGTTAAGGGGTGTCAAAATATATAAAAGTAAACATACCGGAAAATTAAGAGGAGTCAATACATAGTATATATACATATATATTTTTTTACCTACCTACACAGTGTATTTTCCCCGCGAAGGGGTGTCATTCCTGTAAGGTGGCTCCGCCACTGGGTGTAGGTTCTTTCTTTTTGGTATATTGCTTCTATAGGTAAAAGAGGAGGGTAAGTGAACATGTGATGGATTGGATACCTTTCTATATTCAGCTTTTTTCAAACATCCAAAGGTGGATGTGAGGGAAGAAGTATATACTTCCTCGATCCAAATACAATGTCAATTTCTTTTCCCAGGAAGATGGAAACAGTATTTCAATGTCAACATTTCATCTTTTAGTTCGTGTCAGAATTATGTCCACTTTTGCTAGAATAAAGTATTCACATAATCACATGTAATATAATCTTAAAAGGTTTTCCAAGGAAAACCCTTTAATAATCGTCCAGATTTATTTTTCTCTACTTTGTACTACAGAACCCCAAAAATGTGATTATTCACATTCTCCAGCTGAACAAAGTATGATCCTTTTCTCTCTATTATTTCTTCTTCTTCTTTTGTTTTTTGAACGGTTAAACTGACCTTGATCAAGTATATATTCAACAAAATAAGCAATTCAAAAGAAAGTTCATATATTATAGTAATTCCCAGCTTAATCACCACATACAGATATTGAAAAAAAATTAAGAGAGAAGAAGAAATAGAAAAAGAGAAGAATGCTACTGAGTGACGTGGACATCGCGGACTTCACGGCCGTGAGCTTTGTAAGTTTTGATGTGAATTCCACGGTGAGGATTCCATAGCCGTATGGTACGGTCCTTGCCGCAGCTCAGGATGTACTCACCATTGCTGTTGAACCTTGCCGCTAATACTGCTCCGGCGTGCCCTTCCAGCACGTGTACCTTTTGCTTCGGCAATTGTACAGCGGTCATCTTTGCCGGTAACGACAATGGAGTTTTTCAGTTTCGCGCAGGAGCTCAATTTGCTCTATAGGAACCCAAATATTGAGAAATTTGTCTGTTGTTCAATAATGGGCTATAAGCCCAATAAGACTTTGGGGCTAGCTTGATGAAAGCCCACATAATTATATAGATCCAACAATAATTCTAGAAGAATTAACCCAAATAGTCGTCCGCACAACCGCTTAAACTAAAAATAATCGGTGGATGGATAATATATGTATAATATGTGTAATCGTATATAACTACTCCCTACGGTCCAGAATAAGTGACCAATTTTCCTTTGGCACACCCATTAAGAAAATACAAAATTCTAGACAAAAATAGTTAGTGTGACTAAACTACCCTTAATTAAATGTTGCATCATAGTTAATGTGAGGAGTAAAAAACTTTTTAGGGATACGTACATAAGGGTAATTTTGGAAAAATAAATTGAATTTTTTCTTGATTATATAAATGGAAACTTTTTTGAGACCAAAATAAAAAGACAAATTGGTCACTTATTGTGGACAGAGGGAGTAATATATAATTCATATACAGGGGCGGCCCGACCAGTTCCGTGGCCTAAAGCCAAATTTTATGAGGGGCCTTAACTTTTTTTAAAATAATTTATTTATTTGAAGTCTATTTTTCTATCGTTTCTTAGATACAAAGTTATTAATAATTTTCTTATAATCAATAACTCCTAATAAGTCTTTCTTAATTGACAATATACCTAATCTATTTAACTTTTTTCGAGACATTGTTGATATTAGGTAGGATTTTATCAATTTTAATTTTGAAAATTTCTTTCCGCTGAAGCGACGGTAGCAAGAGTATTTAACATTATTCCATAAGTAATATAGGCATTGAAAAAAGAATCAAATCTTTTTATTTGACCGAGTGTATCAATTGATCTTTTATCTTCTAATTGTACTATTTTTCTTAATATTTTTATTTTCGAAAATAAATCTAAACCACCAATATCGAATTGATTATTATGTTTTAACGAACATTCAAGATTAAGGCAATATTTTTTCAAATTTTCATCATCTGGTGATCTTAATTTTTATCGCTAAATAGAAAACCAAAAATAATTTCATATGCTTCGAATTGTTCAAATCTATTTTGAAATTTAAAAAAATAGTCGTGTCTAATATGTATAAAGTAATCAACTCCAAAGGACTCTTCGAAAGATTTTGAGATTTTATTATCAATATTCTCATCAAATTGTTACTTCCTATATCATACGTTTCTTACAAAATTCGGGTTCAATATTCATTTCAAGTGCAATTTTCGTGGCAGAAATCATAGCAATTGCAAATCCTTCTTCTCTATACCTGTTAAAGAAAGAAATTAATTTTTTTCACTTCACAGAACCATTTTTTAAACTTATACATAGCATATTAGGCGTAACAGAAAATGACCNTATATATCAAGTATTTTTTTTTTTGTATACTTCCTAACATATTTAGTCCCACAACTCCTTTAACACGGCACTTGTATGGTTTAACACAAAACACAAGCACTTAAGGCAAAATAGGATATGTCTTAGGTCATTTCTTTTTTGCTTATGCTAGTTATAGCTTTAATTTCTTTCTACTTGCACTATATAAAATTTGTTGGTAAATGTGATACTTTTAAATTTGTACGTACATCTTAAATTCGTTAACCGAGTTTTTTTTTATTTCAGGGGCTCAATAGCAGATTTTCAAAAAACATAAAAGAGGCTAGAAGCTTTTTGCTCGCATTGTCTTTATTGAGTGTAATAAATAGTGAAAATCATCTCTACCTGAGCTGACATATTCATCGTATTTCCAAATTATAGGACTTCTCATTCAATGTTTACTTAACTATAGCATCCCATTATCTTCGTCCATGTCTTTTTGGATGCCACGCAATTACACCAAAAACATAAGTTTCAAAATGTCATTTACTCAAAGAGTCCTCTCCTCTCCCTCTAAACCCCTATAAAATCCCCTATTTTACATCCAACATTATATTCCTCATCTTTTCCTTCTGAAAAATTACACATCCATATTTCTCTTTTTCAACCATGGCTTTGAAATATTGCACTGTCTTCTTAATCATTCTTGTTTGTTCAATCTCAGATTTAAGCCTTGTTAATTCAGCTAGAGAAATACCAATACTAGCAAAACTTGACCAAGCAGATGAAGGAAGTATACTAGATTGTTGGAATGCACTTGGGGAGATAAAATCTTGCACAAATGAGATAGTTGCTTATTTCACAATTGGCACAATTGATATTGACTTACCTTGTTGCCAAGCCATTTAACATCATTGTTGGCCTACTATGCTAAGTACCCTTGGCTTCACTCCTGAACAAACTAATATTTTGAGGGGTTATTGTGATGCTTCTAATTCTGCAACTAGTAATGTTTCATCTAGTTCTAGTCCTGCTCCTTCTCCATTGGTGCTGCCTTTGGACATAAAGAATGATTAGGGAGTCTCAAATTATAGGCCAAGTTTCTTAATTACCATGCATGGTTAGAGTGCCGCTGAGTTTTCTGTAGTTTTATTGAGAAGATTAGTACGTTGGGAAAATATTGTATTTTTCCCTAGCTCCAATATATTATTATGGCTGTTAATTAATTTTGTGAAATTATTGTTTTGTCTCTTTTTTCTCAATAAATTTGGTTTAATATTTTGGTGATATAAAGATAGTAACTGATAAAATTTGATACGCATGTCTGGCCTCGTGGCTTTCTTATCAATCTTTGAATTTGTCACTTCAAATAGTCCAATATTACTTAGAATTTAATTTACACCAACTGATGGTATAATTAAAAATTACCATAATCTAACCAGATATAAAATATTATTTGTCTTAATTTTTCGGGTTAGTAATTTTATTTATTATGAATATAAAGTTACTTATAATTACTTTTTGAATGACTTAAGAGTTATAACTTTTTGCACACTCAATATTTAGCAGGTAAAACAAGTGTTAGTTTTACTGCTAATTACACCCTCTTAGAGTAAAATGGAATCAAGACCAACCACGGTCCAAAATCATTTGAGGCCGGCAGGTGAAGATAATTCCAACATGCACCAATTTGCCCCAACAATTGGAAACAAAAGATGATGAAATACAATTGAAGAACAACAAAAAATGACTGTATAAATTGGAATATAAAGTCTTAAGGTGGTAATACAATTAAGTCGGGATTGAAGTGAATAGAGAAGGGGAGGACAGACTTATAAAATCTGCTTTTATAAGGATGCCTTTTTATTTTCTCCTCCTCGTTGTCTAGTTTCACCGACCTCAAAACCAAGTAGATAATTTCTTTGTAGGGGCTTATGAAAGCCGTAAAGCTTATTTAACATATCAATGAGATGAAATCACCTTGTGAATATATGGACTAAAAGAAAAATTTAAGAAATTTCAGATTGGTGGTGGATATATTGTTGTTAGTGTAACGTTCAATTATTGAAATTTTACCTTATGGTACCTCGAAAATAAGAAAATTGTGTGAAGTTTACGCATAAAAACTTGTGATCTGCATCCTCTTCCTCTTTTTAGTTTCCAGTAAGAGCTTTTCAGTTTAATTTTTCGTTCACTCAATCAGTCTATCTGGACGTACTAAGGCGGAGAAACAAAACAAAAGGAAAAGTTAAGAAAACCTATCATGATTTTTATCTAAGAACACCATATACAGCTTAAGAGAACTAACGAGGGAATCTTGGTGCAATGCTAAAAGTTATTGGTATGATTAGAAGGTCATGAGTTTAAGGCGCGACCACGATTTCTTGTAGAAATGCAAGATAGAATTGTGTACATCATATCCAATGTAAGCGGACATATGATTTAAGCTCTATGGATTTAATAGTTAAAACTCTTAGCATTGAACGTGTTATATTTTTAAAAGTATGGGTTTCGACCTACTGTTAATTGCAATATTAGTATATCTTACAACATAAAATTATGCTCCACTTGAAAATAATGGGCTCAGACAAGGTGGCATATGAGACTATCCGCCCTTGGATTCGGCCCGGCCTTCTCTAAATTTCACGCATAAAGAGAGTTTAGTGCACTACACCACCCTTTTAATTTAACAACGAGGTGGCGGGATGCTTTACTTCATTTATATATCCATCTTTTTAAATAATATTCACAAAAAAGAAAAAAGAAAAAAACATGCACAATTTCACCTTCAGTTATATGGGTAACTCCAAGTAAGCTTAGCTCATGCATTGTACTGGGAGTACGTTTTAAACATTTGATACTGAAAATTAAAGTCTAATTTGATTAAACAGTACGCCATAATGCGTGAACCACGAAATATTATTATTTGATGAAATAGCCATTAATTACTAGAATTTGTAATTAAATCAAGCAAACCATCCTAATATAATGTCATTGGTTAATTAACTAAGAATAAGTAGAGCTTCAATAGTTATTTTCAGAACTAACGAAAAACCCTTCAGATGCCATTATTTAATAATTGGACAATTCATCATATCTATTCTATTTACTTCATTCATTATAAGCATTAATCAGATCAGTTATACAAAAAACTGTAATGTATTTGTTTCTTCTCCACATTAAATTCATAACTCTTCACCTTCCTATCCCCATAAATATTCCGCGAGCTCTTCTTCATATACAGTATATATATAACAGCTCCACAATTCCTTTCTTCTACGATCGATCATCACACGAATATATATATCCCACTCCTTAGTTATATACTGTAACGTATTATAACAACTACATGAAGAGTCTCACGATCTTTAAAGTTGTGCTACTACTTACCCTATTTTCATGGATCAATATTCTTCAAGCTCGACCTTTAACCACAAAATCTAGTACTAGTACGCTTTTGGCACGTCTAAAGTTAGAAGATGAAGAAGGTTCGTCGCAGTGTTGGGATTCATTGTTGGAGCTCCAAACATGCAGCGGGGAGATCGTGCTTTTCTTCATTAATGGTGAAACTTACCTTGGTCCAGATTGTTGTGGTGCCATTCGAACTATTGAACGCCATTGTTGGCCGTCCATGC